ATTTGTACTAACTTGCCCTTACACGTTTTTGTCTAGACAGAAACCTGGATATCTCGGCATGGGTACCCTGGGAGCTGCCAAGGTTGGTGTGCACTTGTGAGGCGGAGGAGCTCATGCCGAACCGGAATTCATTAAGCTCCACTTGTGATTTACATCAGCTGGTTTTAAAACAAACGCTCAGCTACTTCGTTTTAGTGTCGAATCTGGTACGATTCTCATGTGTCATTTTAGGTTCAGTCCCGCTATGAACTTTCAAGCCCCCTTTTCAAACCTTGAACCTCCATGCATAATAGGTAATTTTAATGGGAAAAAGACAGGCTGTGTAACGTGCATATTTCGCGTTAACATCGCCCTCGTGTTTTCGGCCGTATCCCTGGCCGTGAGACATAATGCTTCTCAGAGAGAGAAAATGGCATGCTCTCATTTAAAGAGGCGGGATTTCACTGTAGCCCTAACAGAACCTTTGCCTTTTTTAGATATTTATGTTTGGGTTAGTTCTTGGCATGGCTGGGCCATTATCCCCGTGCGGGAATGAAGCTATTTTGACTTGCATGGTGGCAGGCCCAGGTCCTCCAGCTGAGCATCTGGATGAAGTCCACGTGATGAGACGTTAGTGAGATCTGTGGATATATCGGCCGACGGCGAACTGCGTGGTAGACTTGATCATGGGTAAAAGGCAGCATCAGCCAAACAATTCAAAAATGATGTTAACCATAATGAATAGGGAACACGACGGATTGCTAAGATAATTAAACGCTTGAGGGCAGTGGTTTGGTCCGACCTACGTTGGAACAGCTTCCATTTCTAGAAGGATTATCCGAGGCCCTTCAAAGCTCCGAGTTCTGTGGAGGACCCGACAAACTCGGAGCCGCGTCGCTTCTTTATCGCCGGCAATCTCGGGTCCCGGTGCTACCCCACGTGAGGATCTTACGCCTCAACCAATTCCACGTTATCTAATCTGTCGAATGCACTGTAGCTTGGGCTATCTATCATTTGGTATGACAAGTTGACAATGAAAAGGGCGCTCAAATGCGGGGTTTAGCGGTTGGATATCGTCGGCTCGGCCTGCCAATAGCGGCATAGGATAAGCCGACGGGCGATACTGACCCCAACCCCACATGACTTGTATAACTTGGAGAATGTAATCATTTGACATTCTCTGAACTTGTCCCTTCTTTCTTTCATCCTTCTTTTATAATACTACAGACTATAGTATGTGTTCCTTCTCCTTAACATCCTTAATCGACTACATCACTGACAACTGATAAGATCAGCTTAGACATCATGGCATCTTATAAAGAAACAGTATCAGCTGCCTTACAACAGCGCGATATCGGCCTTGGCAAGGTCGAACCAAAGCTACAGGGCATCCCCGATGAGCTCCCTCTTAGCTCTCAAAGCCTTCCTCAAGGTATCTTGACTGCACGCGAGATTGAGATCACAGAAAAGTATTCAGTGATCGAGCTCCTCGATGTCCTCCGTAAGCGAGAGATCAAGGTTGAGGAGGTGACGCGTGCATTCTTGCGGAGAGCTGCTCTTGCCCAGGTTGCTGTAAGCTATGGCCCACCTACACCCAAGCAGGATGCTAACAGCTCGAGTAGACTAATTGTTTAGTCGAGCTTATGTGGGATCAGGCCATTGAGCGAGCCAAATATCTCGATTCACTACCGGAACCCAAGGGAAAGCTCTTCGGTCTTCCCATTTCTACCAAGGAGCATCACGGCATGGTCGGCGAGAACGTCTCAACTCATGCCTCATTCGTTGCGTGGATTGGCAAAGCTCATGGCTCTAACCTTTTATATGACCATTTGTATGACGAAGGGTGCGTTTTCTACGTGCGAACTACTCAACCTCAAACCATCATGCATCTTGAGACCATCAGCAACATCTACGGACGAACAGTCAACCCTTACAACCGCGATTTGACGGCTGGTGGCAGCAGTGGTGGCGAGGGAGCTTTGCTTGGCTTCCGGGGAAGCATCTTGGTAAACATAATTTTGTCCATGGCCTCGGATTTTGACTGACATGAATAGGGTGTTGGTGGTGATATTGGTGGCAGTGTCCGTTGCCCAGCTGCCCACAACGGAATCTATGCCTTCAAGTGAGTTATCATGGTAGTAATGCCCGACTTATCTTTACTAAACCAAAACAGGCCAACTCTGAAGCGAATCTCCGTCATGGGCGCGCGCTCGATCATGGTCGGCAAGGAGACCGTTTCCTCAACACCTGGACCGATGACGCTTGACCGCGAGTCCCTCGAACTGTTTATGGAAGTCGCATTGTCAAAGAAGCCATGGCTCATCGATCCTTCCCTTACAGCCAAGCCATGGACTCCTTTTAAATTCGACAGACCTCTAAAGGTTGCGGTTCAATGGTGGGACGGTGTTGTCCAGCCCCATCCTCCCATGACAAGAGCTCTGAGGGAGGTTGCGGAAGCCTGCCGGAAAGCAGGCATGGAAGTTGTGGACTGGGACTGTAAGCCTTTGGACCATAAGAAGGGATGGGAGATCCTATCAGCATTGTACTGGCCAGATGGAGGCAAGGAGGCTCTTGAGCTCATGGAGGCCGCTGGCGAGCCTGTACTCCCATTAACAAAGTTCATTATTCAGGAGCAGCCCAGCGTGAAGGATTTGACGATGCATGAGCTTTGGGAGGTGAGTCTAATTGGCACGAAAGATCGGACAATACTGACAGTCTCTTAGCTATGCACCAAGCGCGACGATTATCGGGCAGCATATGCTCGAGCGTGGTCATACACAAGCAAGAACGACGGAAGAGAGGTTGACGTGATTCTATGTCCGCCATTCCCTGGAGCCGCAGCGCCTCATGATCAGTCACGGTACTGGGGCTACACTTCCCACTGGAATTTGCTTGACTAGTAAGTCATCCTCATGATATTCCGCCAAACTCTGCTGACAGTGATCCCAGCCCCGCGGCAGTTTTCCCAGTAACTACAGTCGACCCTGAGAAGGACCCCAAGGACCTAAACTACGTCCCCAAAAACGCGGACGACAAGTTCAACTATGACCTCTATAGCCCCGAGACATACGCCAATATGCCTATCAACCTGCAAATTGTTGGACGAAGGCAGTACGATGAGAAGGTACTTGCTGCGCTCAAAGAGATTGAGCACGCGATGGGTAGGAAGTGATGAGATACTAGGTATCTAAATGGCTTGTCTGAGAGGCGGATGGCCTGAAACTCCGCAACTCCGCCATCCTAGAGTCGGCGCAACCATTGCCCCGATATGATTGATTGGGAACTGTATGTCGTGGATAGTAGCGATGCGATATCAGTTCAATAGCTAGGGCATTCATACACCATAGATCATATAAAGGACACAAGACTCATGAATTATGTGCAGTCCGGATTATGCTTTTGGCTTCTAATGTGCCACCTCCAGTGATAAAGTCTCTAGTTCCGTTTGCTGCAACATAATTGGGACCAATGAACTGGAGTTATTTGCTTATTCTTTTGTGCTTCCTCTACAAGCCCGCACGGAACTGGCTGTCCAATTATTGGACGCAAAAAGGTTCGGAGAACGGCCATGTCCCGAATGTAACGGCGGCTTTTCATTGATCCAATCACAAGACGTGGAAAAGATCGCTGGCGCCCTGAAATGATGACCAACCATTGGGGGCGGCTTGACTGATTGGCCGCGCTATGCGAGTGCGCGGTCGAAATCAATCACAGGAAGTGAAAGGAAGTAAGATTCATGGAGCAAACATATCATATAAATAGATTCATCTTGTTACACCAGTTTCGTTAGCCATCATTAACCTTTTTATTTCGTCATCAACCCTTGGCTTAAAAATCACGTAACACCAAAACTTTACAATGTCTGACAAGCGCACCATCTTGATAACAGGCTGCTCGGATGGTAGTCTTGGCTCGGCTCTGGCACTTGCGTTGAAAGATCGTGGATGGCGGGTCTTCCCTTCTGGACGTAACCTAGCGAAGCTGGGCAAGGTCAAGGAAGCCGATCTCGAATGCATCGAAATGGATGTTGGCTCGGATGAATCCGTCTCAGCAGCCGTTGAGGAAGTCAAACGAATTACCGGCGGCTCACTAGACGCCTTGCTCAACAATGCTGGCACCGGCTACAGTATGCCTCTTATCCATGCTGACATCACCAAAAGCCACGAGCTGTTTGAGCTCAATGTCTTCTCTATCATCAGGGTCACCCAAGCCTTCGTCCCTCTGCTTCTCAAGTCTACCCACGACGCTTTACTTATCAACAACACATCTGCTTCTGGTCTTCTCGGAGCTGGCATTCCATTCCAAGGAACTTATGCAGCATCCAAGGCTGCTGCTGCCAGTGTGACCGAGAGCTTGAGAGTCGAACTGGCCCCTTTCGGCATCCGCGCCATCAACTTGTTCACTGGCGGCGTCAAGTCAACCTTTCACCACAATTCGCCGGATGCTGAGCTTCCCAAGGATTCGATCTATAACGTCGCCAAGGAGGCTATCGAATCTAGCATGAATGGCAACGAAGTAGGGATGAACAAACCTGATGCGATGACCTGGGCGAAACAAGTCGCTGGAGATTTGAGTCAACGCAAACCACCTTACCTGATCTTTCGAGGCGGCAGTGCTGGTTTGGCTCGCATAGGCACTCTGTTTCCGACCGGTACCTTCGACTCGACTGTCAAACAGCTTAGTGGCATAGACGTGTTGGAGAGAAAGCTGAAAGAGGCAAAGTCGACCTGAAGCCTCAGTGATCATACGAAACGGGAGGAGAATGTATAATTAATAGTGCTGTTCATTTTGCATGTTCGGACATTTTGTCATCTATCCTACAGACATTGCATGATTAGTGATGATTCACGTGATGCGCGATGGTGACATAGATGTTACACATGACGAATATGATGAGAGATGTCCGCGTATGGCGTGTTGCGATAAGGAATATGAACTATATTGATGTCGCTTCTGTTTAATAGATCCTTAATACTTATCTTTCTCCGTAATAATATCATTGTTGATTTCAGAAATCCATTATGGGAGACTACAACATCAAGTCTGTTGCGGTTGTTGGAGCCGGAGCTGCCGGTGATTCCCCACGCTTTCACCCCGCTTGACGAACTATGGAAGAGCTGATCGTCTATTTTCGTAGGCGCCATTTCCGCAGCCGCTCTAAAGGCAGAGAATCACTTCGACCGTATACGAGTGTTTGAACGGAGAGAAACGCCTGGGGGTACTTGGTAAGAACGGAAAAATTGGGAAGCAAAGATTTTAGACTCAACAATACTAGGATTTACGATGCCGACCCGATAGTCGCTCCTATTCAGCCTGGGGGCTTCCCAGCAGATATTGATAAGCCACTTGCGATTCCAGACAACTTACCGACCACGACGCCTCCGAATCAGCAAGAGAGATACGCCCATACTCCTATCTATCAGAATCTCACGCAAGTCGCTCACTCAATCATTCAAATCCACGGTTACTGACACGAAGCAGAACAAATGTGCCTCAAATCGCCATGTCATTCTCGGACCAGCCGTTCTCCTATGGACCTTTCGTTCCCCATTATGTTCCTCGCCAATACATCGAAACATATTTCTCCACCCAGAAGACTGACGAGTATTTATCTCTCAACACTACAGTAGAAGACATCTCCCAGTTACCTGCCGCTACAAAGGGCGGACTGAAGCCGTGGAGGTTGACATTACGGAAATATGACCCTCTGCGTCACGTCGATGTATGGTGGCAAGAGGACTTTGACGCCGTTATACTTGCCAACGGGCACTATGCTATTCCCTGGGTAAGTACATTAACCCGGTGAAGACAACTGTCTGACGATATATGTGACTAGGTTCCGCAAGTCGACGGCTTGGAGGCATACATGGAGAAATTTCCTGGCAGAGTGATACACTCCAAATTCTATCGCTCACCGTGGATATACGCCGAGAAAAGAGTCCTCGTCATTGGAAACTCGGCCTCTGGTCATGATATAGCAGTGGATCTTCTACAATCTGTCCATCAACCGCTATACCAGTCACGAAGGTCGCGAGGGAGGTTGGATGGCGATGAACCTCCTCTTGGAATGGAATGGAAGACAGTCATCAAAGAGTACCGACTGGATGGTACAGTCGTGTTCGATGATGGCAGCGAGCTCAAAGACCTTGATCACATCATTTACTGTACAGGATATCTTCCATCTTATCCATTTTGGAACAGCAAAGTAAACGGCCGTCCACTGTTTGACTACAAGAAGAGAAAACTTATCAACAACTACTGGCATACCTTCTTCCAGGACATCCCCAACTTGGCAGTAGTCGGCATGCCTCGCGTCTTGACATTTCGAAGCTTCGAATACCAAGCCATCGCACTTGCACGACTCTTCTCGGGGAGAAACTCCATTTCTCTTCCACCAAAAGAGGAGCAAAAGAAATGGGAACTTGACAGAGAGAAGCTTTGTAGACAGCAAGGAAGGAAGTTTCACGAGATAGAGTGGGAGACTGGTGAGACTTTCGGATGGTTGGAAGGGTTCTTCAAGATCGCGGGCCTGGGAACATTGTCTGGGGAAGGTAGAATACCTCCTGTATTGAGCAAAGACCTTATCTGGGCCATTGAACATGTGAGGAAATACCCAGATCCGGGTAAGGATGATCACAATAAGAGGAGGGGGGGATCTCAATCTGAAAGTGATGGTTGGGATTTGGTCGAAAGTACGCACAAAGATCTCTTGTCCTTCATCTAGATCGAAACATGCCAAATATACACGAGTGAGACTGGTTCACTACTTCACAGAGCAGCATTCCATCTTTTCTCCCCTTCGGCACTGTGCGGCGACCAAAAAAAGTTCCGGAGCCTATCCTTCTCCCTGCGCGCCGTCCTTCGGAGCCACTCATGACGCGGAAGCTCATCTAGGTCGTCTTCGTGATCATCTCTGCTATCAAAGGCAAACCCGTGCATCCACTTTAGGTCAGCCTGGGCCTCGCGCTGACCGATCTGAAGCTTAAGGACAGCACCCTGGAGACGACCTCTCCTCCAGGGCATTACTTTCCCCGTATTTTGTCCAAAGATGACAGCCGGTAGTAACTCGATGCCGTTCTTGGGGTCCCATTTTGAGCGCAAGTCCTGTTGATATGTCCACTCTTTTTCGAGGCTATTCTTGAACCTCAGTGCACTTTTGTGATGGAATCCCTCCTCAAACATCACCCTGTTACCGATTGCCGCAAAGACATGGGTTTTGTAGACTGATTCAAGATAGGCGATCAACTTCTCGTCGTCAAGCGGGACAACGGCTGACTCTGATTCCGTGCAGGGATAGTAGTCTGGGTCATCGCCTTTGCTATACTGGATGGGTATGCCAGCAATCCCGAGGTACACTGTTTTGATACCTTTGTACTCGGGATTGTGGGTGAGGCACTTTTGCAAAGCTCGGAGTGCCTGTGGTGTAGGCACCATGCATGCAATAGCCTTGATGTTGGTAGGTAAATTGGTGATGCGTCCACATGTAAGTGCAGCGATGGGTATGTGTAAAGTTGTAATACTATTGTCAACCCAGACCGAATGGTATCTTTTTTCGAAAATTCCTCGGATTGCTTTGCAGAATATTCGATGTTTTTTGTCTTTGACAGTCATGTACGATCCACTCTTCATTGCCACGGCCCGAGAATCGTAGCATGCCTCCAGGAGGGGTCGAGGTCCGTCTGCCCCCTCTGCCTTTTCAAACCGCAGACCACGTAAGAAGGCGTCGTGGAAAATCTTGTAGGTTGCATGTGTGTCTTTTCTCTTAGGAACAGCTTCTTCCCAAATCATCAGCCTAAGCTCTGGTGGTAAGTTGTCGAAACTCTCGAAATCGCTTGACATGGATTGACCCATGATGGTAGCAGGTGATATCTGAGTGTACAGTGCTACAAGGGAGACCTAGTACTGCTACAAGAGCGTTGAGGGAGCTTTGGTAATGCTATGATGCGATGTTTGTCTGATGATGATACAAGAGAATATGACGGGCGTGAGAGGAGAGGTTGCCCTTTTATATAAGATATCTTCTGCTCATTTTTATTCTGACTTCCTAATTCAGAACCTTCAGACGCCTAGTGGGCCCTCACCATGTGTCTTTTGTTTGTTGTGAGGGCCTTTTCCCCATAGAGTTCTGACAAGTGAACTCAAGGTTTGAGTACCAAACTTACACGATATCAGTAAGTCGTCAGCCAGACTTATGGATGAGAAATTAAATCATCACAGAGAAATCACTTACGCGAAACAATAAGGGAACTGAAAGGTATAGATGAATGAGGTTTCCATTAAGTGCTTAAGAACTACAAGATGCTAAACCAACGAAGGCGTCAAGCTCGCCGTTTACGTCAGATGATCGCCCAAAGGATTCTTTCCAGATCCATCTAATCAAAGTTCTCAGTTTTGGGAGCCCAATTGACAGTGACTTCGATCTTGTGCAGTGAAGGAACCATCATTACTGTATCCCATATCCTGGCAGATAAGCGCCTCTTGCATCCGCCGAATCCTCAAGCCATATCGTCTGTATGCGTCTGCATGATATAGTCCCTGGTAACACAATTATCAGCGTGCTGAACGAAACATAAATCAATTACGTACTGCTCCTTGGGGTGGAGACCCTGCACAATGTGCATGTTTTTATAGTCTAGCCCCTAAGGGCACTCGATATCGCTTGAACCTAGTTTTATTTCTTGGATCTCGCACAAGCTGAAGAACAGCAGTGGAAAGATGGTTCACTGGAGCAAACCCAGGCGGGGTTGTAAAGTCCTCGCAGGGGTATCAAAAAGACTTCGTGGGAGTTTGCGGTCTGTCCTCGCCGGGATACTCGTAAGAACCAGCTGTCATGGTTCTAAAGGCGCTATAGCTTGCAGACAGGGAAGAGAGATAGAGATATTGCGTGTAGTCCGTGTGATATTTGAGATGGGAAGACTCAATGGAGTGAAAGGCAAGGTATGAGAGGTCAAGTGGCGAGAAACACTCAGAAGTCCCACAGAAACTCCGTAAAAGAGAAATCTTCAAGCATGCTTTGGTGCACTCGCTCGCTTTCATTCTCAGATTCCCTGGGCTGCACTCGCTCGCTCTCATTCTCAGATTCCCTGGGCCATATCATATGAATGCCTCCAAACCTCGGAGACCAAATATGTATTCTCCTCCCATCTCTGTTTGATTTCAAGTTCCTGTTTACAAAAGATTTGTTAGCAAGTCTCGCGCAGTAAATCATGAAGCTGCTAGGAAGACTTACCTGGGAAGTTCGTCCACAAGGCCAAAATATAAGGTATCAATATGGACAGTACCTTCGTTTCGCCATTTGGTAATGTATTTCCCGACTGTATCTTCGCGCACGGGGTCGTATGTGTTGCCTATTGTGTCGGCTAGGACTTTGACATTCGGTGGGAGATTGATGATCCTGTCGAGATAGCGCGGTTCGAAAGGGATGAAGATGATCTCGACATTGCGATCTATCCAGACTTTCTTTTGCCACACTTTACCCGGTACAAGGCTCTTTAATGGTACTAAATTTCCATTATTGGTAGCAAAGTGACGGGACTCGTGACAACAGGCCAGAACAGCTATATTAGCTGTCGCTCGGGGTGTGGTTGCAATTATGTCTTCGCCTCGTTTCAAGTCCCAAATCTCGCATATCTTCGACCTAGGATGTACCTCTTCAGGTAAGGCGGCTTCCCATATCATCAGGCGTATCTCAGCTGGTAGGTTAGGGAACAGAGTGAAGCAGCTATCCTGGGATGCGGTCTCTGTATCGCTCGCTCGTCTCATCTTGACTGTAGATCAATTCGGTGTTGACAAGAGTTGTGCGCGACTTCAACTTGGTGGTGCTTTTTTATTATCAGAGGTGATAATTTCGGACAGATAACCCATTTTATCCTGTTAATTTAGCTTACAGGCAGAGCATTGCATCTTATACTCATCCCATGTGGCGAATTTTCGAGAACATATGTCGACGAATGAAAGTCAAAGGCGTCTTGAATGGTTCATACCCCAAAGCGTGACAAATCAGCACGTCAGAAAATCCGCGACTGTAAAGCTTAATACCTAAGTAGGTTTTTACAGACAAATCATGATTATCAAAGAAAAAGTGTCTTTCTTATACGTTGGATAACAAGTGAGTTAAATGGTATCCTGGAGATTGCAAGGTCTGCTCTGCCTGGCGTGATTGAAAGAGTAAAACACTGGTGTACTTGGTGTCATAGTCATATTTTCAGGCATCCTTTTCTCAGGTACCACGAAGTAAAAGGTCACGGCAGACCACAGCCGACTTAAACTCTCTATAACGGAGTCTTAAACCATTTCACTGCGGCAATGAAAACTTAACGTCGATCTACAAGGTTTATGAGGGTCGGCGATAACGAATGAAGTGTGATGAATATTAAATATATATTTGAAGCTACATAATCGTGACAGTCATTAATTGTTGTAAATGGACAGAATATCAGTAGAGTTATCGTACTCCACTCCACACTTTTCAGAGAAGCCGGTAAACTTTTCGACTCTGTCCTGCACATACTCCTCGAAACTCTTTCGGGTGCAGCTTGTTCCGGGTCCGTCTTCGCACGAAGGTAGAGCCTGGGGCGCACTGTTGACTAAAACACGGTAGTACTCTCCATCTTCATATCCGTAGGTGTTGGTGCAGTTGAGGCGCTCGATGGCGATGTTGCTCAGGAAGGGCAACACGTGAGAGCTTTTCCAGGCGCGACGGTAGTTGATCTTGCTCAGAGGCATGGTGTCGTTGATCTGAGATTCTGTACTGGCGGGTTCGGAGTTGTTAAAGAGACCCATAGCGACAAGGACCATGGGAGGTAGTTCACGGTGGGTAAAGCTGACGTAAAGCTCTTCATCGGAGTCATCACCAAGGAGGAGACCAGCTGTGGTGTTGAGCCAAGGCATACCGACGTAACCAGAGATCTGGTTGCCGTAACCAGCGTTGTAGTGATATCGCACGTCCTCGGAGTACTCCCAGCCAAGCCAGTCATCGGGAGTGAAGAGCTCAAGGTTACAGAACGGCGACTTGCCGCGAGTAACAGTCTCGTAGCCACAAAGCTGCTGCATGCCGAAAATATCGTTGACGGTGAAGTTGAACTCTGATGCAAGCGCGTTGAAGCGATCGACGATTGGCTTGGCGTACTTCTTCTGGTAGACTTCGGCCTCATCGCTGCCGGTGGAGCCATCGTAGGCGGGGCAGGCCTTGTAGGGAGTCAAGCTGTCGGCACCAGATTCCTCTGACTCGTAAATGGTCTCGACCTTGATCGACTTATCGTCGGACTCAAGACCACGGACAAAAGATTGAGCCGACTTGACGGTTCGTTCGGCGGACGAAGTCCAGACCTTCTTGGGCTGCTTGAAGTCTGGGTATCGGAACTCCAGATCAACGCCCAATCGTGTAGCCTCTAGTCTTCCCACGTTGGTCAAAAGTGATACCTCAGCATCAGAAATGGGAGGTTCCCAATCGTCCAGAAAGTTCAGATAAGGAATCTTGCTCCAGTCGATCTTGGTTTTGTTCTGAACTTTCTCAATGAATGGCTCGATGTACTCCTCAAAGTCAAAATCGTTGGCGTAGATGGCAGCGTGTCGCACGAGATACGCAGCGCGCTCGGGGGTGCAGCCTTGGGGCGCGTCGGGAGAAGCGGGAGGATCTTGGGGCTCGAAGTAGGGAGCGATACCCGCGAGGTGGTGAAGAGGATTGAAGGTGTACTCGGAGTTGAGTGAAGCTGCTGAAGCGAAAGGCAGCAGGCCTACAAGAGCCTTGCTAAGGGTATTTTGACGAGCCATGGTGAGTTAGCGAGAGGTCACAACGAGTCTGGTGCGCTGAAGATCAAAAAGTCAATTGAGTTTCTGGCTATTTTATTTATTTTATTTATTTTATGCTTAGTGAGGATATGAGATCATTGGTGATGTTTGTTGTCAAAGCCCCATGTTCTTGCTGTGTCTTTGACGTCACAGCATAAAATAAATCAACAACTAAACCTGCCTGTATCGGCTCTGTTCCTTGCAGTTCTTGAAGATCACTGTCTCTGATTGGATCGGGGATTTGCGGCTCCATATTGAAACGCCGTCAGCCGAGGCCGCATTATCCGAGCGAATGGACTTGGCATCAGCTCAAATCAAGAATTTGCTAACAAACTCATCGAGATTTTCAACGACGCGTAGATGCAACAAATCGATTGGTTCGTAGACGAGTGCCCAGCTGTAAACGATTCATGTCATTCGTGATCGGGTTGTTTGTACAACTCAGACGTGGTCCTGAGCATCATACTCATTTCCTTGCCCTGTATTTGAGTGATGCCGGCATTCGAGGCCACTGCCGTGGTGAGTAACAAGCTTCGCCAATATTCACTGATTATGTCACGATCTTGGACGATTCTAGTGTCACTGCCATGCTTAAAAATTGGGTCATCGATTGAGGCTCTCCAGTTCCCGTGATCGATGACCCCGAATATCTAATTGTGTCCTGGATCTCGTGTAGTACCTGCAAACAAGCAGGCAAAATCACTCTTGTCAAACCAAGTCTTATCTCTAGTCCAAGCCTTAACAATAACGTCTCTCGCCAGACGAGCCATATCTTCCACTTCCTCAGTCGTGCCCCAGCCCGATGCCAAAGTACCAAAACTCAAAAGATGTACCCCAACTTGAAGGGCCACTCGCCATGCAGCATCCTCAGTCCGAGGCTCCAGCCCCTCAGCGTAACCTTGAAGCATCCATAGCCCAGCGTCGATGTGTTTGTACTTCCAGAGTACATACATCTCGCCCAGCATGCCGCCGTGATCGAGGCTCGGAACGCCGACCTGCGAATTTTCCCAGTCGATGACATATAAGGATCTGGTAGTTGCGGATTCAAGATGGGCATTTTCCAGCAAGATGCTTTCAAGTCATTAAATTGGGATTCAAAGAGCTGGGGATGTACTCACTTCTGGGGGTAGTAGTCGCCATGAATCAGTGTCAAGTCTGCAGTCGGGTCGCTCAGCTCCTTCAGTGCCATGTTCTTGACGAGATGAAATGTATCCTTTGCTTCCGACAGAATTCCAGGGAACTGTTCAACACGATCGATCATCCAATCGAAATTGATTAAATGTTTTAAGTTCTGCATGTCATTGCTGCTATCAATCACCCTGTTGAAACCCGATAGCTGTTGTGTATGCTTCTGTTCGAACGACTTCCGAATAATCTCCCTGGTCATGTCATGAAATTTGACCATGTAAATCGCCAGCGCTTTACCCAGTTCGCGGGTTGGTTTCCGTAAGTACTCAGGTGTCGGGGATGGGAAGTGGCTCAGAGAGTAGGTCTTGAGATCTACTACATTGGGGAGATACTCTAAGACCAATGTCTTGGTTTCAGTATCGTAGGCATAAGCTGTTGCTGTTCTGACAGCGTATGCAGTGCTTCCAGACTGCATCACGTCTATGGGATCCGTAGACAATTCTGACAAAATTTCTCCTTCAACGTCCTTTGTCGTGTCAGCCAAACCCTTCCTTTATCCTTTTTTCACTCACGCATCTGTTCACAGTGACGGCATTGGCGGGGTGACGCGCCATATAAGGCTCGCCATGCTTGACAACGACTTCAGTTGTACCATCGTCCAGTGGATTTATAAGGTGAGCGCGATACGTAAAATTGGCTTGTCCGCCAGCCAGAGGTTCTAGTAAAGATGCTGCATATGACGTGGTGTTGAGCCATGCAGCCACCTGTTGGCGGATTAGATCAGACGTATCTTGTGCGGACATCTTTATATGAGAAATCATCGACTTGGATAAACTATTACCGTAAATCTCATCGTCTCGTCTGGTTCAGCTTTTATGGTGCGCCGTTATCTGGATGCCTGGAGTGAGTGGCGTAATGGTGTCAGACTTATTCTAGATGCCTACACAAACACAATCAGGCTAATGGTTGATCGCACTATTTGCAGTTGAGACTGGTGGCTGAGAGCTTATTCCGGCAGACAGAACTTGGTTGATCACACAAAGGGTATATGAGAATTATGAGACTAAGACTAATATTACATCTGCCATCTATGACAAGAGGCCCTTGTTTCCAAGGTATTACTACTGGAAATTATAGCAAAAATCGGTAATAGGGACCTCAACGTGATACAAATTAGCCTTCCACCACTTTGTCGCAAAGCCCTCCAGATCGAAAATGAAGTCGGACTTGAGAGAAACACCGCAATCCTTGGGCTCATTTACGACAGCAAGTTCTGAGTCAGGTGTCGTAACTGGGGCAACCTTTTCGGCGTCCAAAAGATTCACTCCAGCCCCACCATTCGAAGCATGGGCCGACTGTACAGCATCCAGAGTGAACTTGTTCACAAATTCAGGAGTAGCTGTAAGTCCGCTGCTAAGATCGACCAGGCCACCGAGAAGCTTGAAGGTGAGCTGGACAGTAAGCGATGCACTGGCATTCAAGCCGACCTCGACGCTCTCGGTAATGTTGGCGTAAGATGTGTACTGAGGCTCCCAGCCAGTAGCAGCATTCTTACCCGAATCGAGGAAATCGAGATGGACGTTTGCGGCGGGGATAGCAATACCGGCGCCAGCTCTGACTGCAACGGCGGCTGAGGTATCAACATCTAGTCCAACAGCGAAAGACAGGCCTGGTCCTAGAGAGAGGATACCGGGAACTTCGACGAGGGTGTATGTGAGGGTATCGGGGTCGTAGAGGATAGATCGAGACCAAGCTGCAGCTACATCGGCGGCCAAAGCGACATCAGCTGAGAAATGGGTATCAAGATCGAAATAGAGATCTTCCATCTACTCAAGTTAGTAAACTAGGCTACTCATATCTCCAAAGTCACGTACTTTGAAGCGCCAAAAGTTGTACTTGGCGCGGCCAGAGAAGGAGACAGTGGAAGAGAACTCTGCCTTCTCGGCCTTGATGGTCACCCATGGCTGTTCCTGGAAAAGGACAGTATCTCTCTCAAGACCAGTACCGAAGTTGAGAGAAAGGCTGGGGTTCAGTGTGAGGCGCTTCGTCAACTTGGTGGCAGGGATGGAGGTGAACGACATTTCACAGGTTTCTAGAAGATGTTAGTCTTTTCTTTTATTCATGGAGAGAAACGTACCAGCAATGTCGGCCAGCTCTTTCTCGGCAGCATGGCAAGTAATGGTCTTATCACCCTTGTCTGTAGTAACGCCATCAACAAGGTAGAAAGCTTGGCCAATCTCGGTCTTGCAATTGCCCATGTTGTTCGTAATGAGAATGAAGGGTTCGTCGTCAGACCAAGTATCGATAGCCTTCTCGAAAGCAGCAGACTTTCCGAACTGGACCTTGACGGAATCGGTCGTACACTCGACCGAGACAATGGCGTCAATGTGATCCAGAACAACAGCTGGGTGATTCATGACAAGGTCCATGTCGATGGCCCCCTTCGGAGCGGTTGTGTTGAGCGCAGGGAAGGTTTGATTACGGGGCTTCTCAACATCGCCGTAAGACATGGAGATGTTCTTCTTGGGAACCGCATTCTCGGGGTTGCTCAAGTCGACCTTGGCGGGAGGCTTGGGAAGGAAAGTCGCCGTGGTGTTGTGGTGCGCGGAAGTCGAAGACGCGCGAACAGTCGTCTGGTTAGGCTTAGACCGGATATTGGTGGGCTTGGTTTGCACAGAAGTGATTGTCGGAGGCTTGGTCTGAGCAGCGACTGTCTGACTAGGTATCTCAACGACAATGTACTTGACAGTGCAACCGCATGACTCGTCGTGTGCGAGCACGCCAAGGCAAAGGAGCCAAAGGCTGAAAAGAATGGACGAGAACGAGGTTCTCATGGTGAAAAACGAGAGACTTGTTGAATGAGTGACAAGGCGATGCCTGGGAGTGAGCGTGATGGGCCGAACATGATGAGAGATGGCATCAAGATATAACAGACCAGCTCAATACCGACGCTAGTGAATAGGGAATAGAGTTCGTCTCTAACGGTGACTTGGCAGCCAACAGATTAGGAATGTAGGTATACCATATTTCCAAAGGTATAACAAACAGTCCACTAGCAGTTCAGCTCTGGACCATTAGAACCCTTAGAGCTGTCAGTACGGCAAAAGCCGACCATCACATGCATGGCTCTAGTCGAAATGGGGAAGGTGTCTAACGGTGGGAATAACATCTCAGGTGAGTGGTTACATGGGTTTGTGGCATGCTATAGGCTGGTGGGTTTAATGCGATGCGAAAAAGGGACGAGATTGATAGGCGAATCACGGTTAAACGTTGGCTGCCAGATAATTGATGGTATCATTCGCCTTTGCGACGTGGGCGGTTATAGGTCCGTTGGTGATGAAGCAGGGATGCGGCGCAGCAGGGACGCCAAGCGACTCGATTGAGTGAAGCCATCGCGACAAATGTTGAAGACCGTGTTGCATGGAAGTTGCCGTTTACGAGAGATCTTCATTAACTAAGTCGACTGAATTTCCTCAAATGAACTCGATTATCTTGAAATAGGCAGGTAATCGTAAAGACGTTGTCATAGCCTCGGTCTACGCCAAGGCTCAGCCCTGAAGCACGTGTCAAACGTCAGGTTAATCGATCTCCAGACTAGCACAGGGGTATTGACCAGGATATATATAGCTACCGTCAACAGCCTGTCAAACCATTCCTCTTCTGTATAATCTTTGACATTCGGTTACGGATATCCCGCTGATAGTAGATGCAACGTAACGGTGCCCTTTAATGATCAATTAGCTCCCATGCTTCTGATAAGATGCTACCTATAGCGCTGTAAGTCAAATATGCTATAGTAATGGTCAGATTTCTTCACAAAGAGTCGCACGCGGCGATTGTTGAAAGTCCGAAAC